ATCCATTAAAAAAAAATTTTATATCAGATTATAGACAAAAATTATAAATTATGGAAACGCATTATTTATATATTTTATTAGATTTTCGCCCTATTTTTTTAGTTTTCCTGTTTACAAACTAATATTAAATTTAATTCAAAGAAAAAACTCAATGTCTTTTTTAAAATCTATTATATTTTTTAGGGATGCTTTAATTTTCTTAAACATTAATAGTCAATAAATAACTATAAATATTTAAGAGAAAATAATTATTTTTACGATTGTTAATAAAATTTAATGTTTTATATTTTTATTAATGTTCATTTATTATTTAAATACTTAAATCATATTTTTAAAATTTTGTAATAAATTAAATATTCTATTAATCGAAAAATAACTATATTATAATTAAATCATAAATCATGTTTGATTAAGCATAATTAAAAGTTTTATCCAAGAGAGATAAAGTATTATATTATTCTCTTCTATTTTTAGGATTAAAATCAAACTTCGAATTATCGTTCAATATTGGAAATTATTCAGGTGTTTGTAGAAAAGATATGCTAATTTTATGGGTTATTTCGGTAATTAAAAATATATTATTTCAGTAATCTTAATAATTTAAGCCCAGAATCAAAACCTTAGAATTAGCCGTGATATATATACTTATCTAAACTTTTTTTAAGATTGGACCTTAAAATTTAAAGCTTATAGGAATATTTCTTCATATTCATTAGCTTCTAAAGTAATTCATTTTAGTAGTTTGAAAGTTTAATGAAATAGTAGCAATTGTTCAAATTAAGTGGTAGGATAATTTAGGATAAGTGGAAATTCAGATTTTATAATCTTTTAAATTTCAATTGAATCTATAATTCCATCCGTTTATTTGATTGTAATGGGTATTTTAATAAATGAAAGATTTTCAGTCACATTATGTTTATTTTAACGGGTAAATTATTTTTATATCATTAAATTAGATTTCGAAATTAGTAAACATTCTTAGATTGTTCTCGCTTTTGCTCTTTTTAAATTTTTCATAAGATAAATTTAATGTTTTTACTGATAGAGTTTTAATTGCGACTAATAAAATTAAATTTTAATTCAAATTAAAAATCTTAATTGAAACTCATATAGATAGACTATATAATTTAAGAATGATCCTTTAAAATTAAGATATTACGAAAAAAATTGAATAACTATTTTAATCCAAATAACAAAGAGTCGTTAATCCTCATCCCAATAGAAAATTTTTAAATTAGCCATTTGATATAGTTTTTTACAAAACTTGAAATTTAAATATTATAATAATAAAATAACAATGAATGGTTCATTAAAAATAAAAATAAATTAGTATATCTTTATAGACTATTTACATAGACTGTGATAATTTGAAGTTAAAATAAAATTCTCTTAAAATAAATTTGACACTTAAACTTTATATAATATATTCTAATAAATTGTTGTATTATTTATTTAGTAATTTCATCTGTTTATTATTTTTATTCATTTTCATATTATATTACTATAGTCTTTGGTTGGTACATAGTGTTTTTTGTCCAGTAAAATTTGTATTTTTTTTTTAAATGATTTAACTTTTTTACAAGATTGCCATTGATGTTACCTATTTAATTAAATCTCTCCAATAATTATTTTATTTTTGCATACTAAAGTCAATGTTTACCTTATTTAAAAGTTATAGAAAAATAAAAAACAAACAAATGAGTTAAAAAAATTAAAAAAAAAACATGGATAAGTTTTTGTGATTTTTAAAACAATCAATCTGGTTAGATCTATAAACTGCTCTTTATCCTCGGTTGGATTAATGGTTGATTTTAGAAAAAATTCTATAATTCAAAATATTAAGTAAACACAGATAGTTATTTTAAATTGATATAAACTTTATATTTTTAATTAAAATAAGCAAATTAGTTTATGACTTTACTTATTTTAATACAAAATAAACACTCATTTTTTTAAGCTTTTCATTCATTATTTAAATGATCCTTATATACAAATATTCATCTAATCAGACAGAGATAATGAACTACGTAAAGAATCACTCAAAATTCTCGAAAAATATTGTCACATTCTTTCCATTTTTTATAAAAAAATTTGGTTTAGATTCATTTGAAAAATATTTAATTTTTAACAAGCAATCCTACATTAGTATTGTTTATAATTTTAAAGATGACCCTTAAACTTGCAGTTAATTTGATTGCTATTTTTTATCATTAACAAAAATATTAAAACAAATTATAACTAATTAATTCTTTCTTTAAAATTAAGAATAAATAAATTAATTATTTGAAGATGTAATTTAATATTATTTATCAAATATTTTAATTTAATTCTATTTAAAAATTTATCACCTGTCCTCAGTGGATAGAAATGGTAAAAATTATGGAGGACACTTTGCCACAACATTGGGTAGTTCTCTATATATTCTTATGATAGAGGGAAGTTAAATATTATCTATGGGGAAATGATATAAAACTGAGAAGGAAAAGTTATAAGATATTAGATTCTATTTCATTAAGAATTCTGCTTATTTATTTTTCTTTTTAAGTTTATTTAGAATAAAATTACAATTATAGTATAAGTTTTCACTATAATAAATTTCTTACAATATTTCAGTAATTTCATTGTTTCACTTAAATTTTGATTAATATCTAAAATTCATAGAAAGAGAAAAAATATAGCTTCAGATTTTTGTATTATAAAGGTGAGTGCTCATTTTTTTAATTCAATTATTATTATTATATCCTAAAATCAAAATAAATATTAGTTTTCAATAGAAAATTACAGATAAGGTGATGATGAGTCTAAAATAAAGG